GCACGCCACCCGCACCCGCTGGCACTGTCCCGTATGAGGATGATGATGGACTCGACTGGACAGTAGTGCAACAGCTGACTCTCAAAGCCTGCAGTAATGATAAATAGCAGAGAATGTCAGTGTATATAAATATTACACAGCTTATGTCATGTTGAAGTTTTAGGAAGGATTTTATGAGACGTTTCAGACAAGATGACTAAGAAAGCAGGCAAAGTGGCCCATGTTATAAATGCAGTAGGAGCTGTATTTTTTTTTTGGTGGGAGGGAGGGGCTGCAGAAGCACTCAGTTGGGATGTGTTACATGTACACAGGCTGTGTGATTTATGAGCAGAATAAGAAATGGAGAAGCGGAAAGGCCAGGCATTAAATCAGGAGCTTTCGGTCTGTCGTGTGTAGCTTGATACTGCTTAAGCATTATGCCTGGATGTGGGGAGGCGTAATGTTGGGATGGAGGTTTCCTGGGGGGGGGGCGTTAGGGACCAATGGAACAATGGCAGGAGGGCAAAACGGACTGCACTCCTCCCCTGCCCCCCCACTTTCAATTCAGGATATAGATTACGACACAACGTGCCACAGAAGATAATCTCCCCCTAATACCCGTGGTCTAAATCCACAAATATAAGGGGGGGGGAGGATAATACTTTCTGCACTTAATAAATGCGTAGAAACAACATATGTATGGGGAGAGCAGCGGTAATCCCCCGGCCGGCTGAGATGAAAGGCCTGTTTGTCTGTCGCGCTTCTGGAGGAGTGGCATTTCAGCTAAAACCTCACGCAGATTTGTTTGGGATTACAGCGAGATTCCACATAATGAAATTAGATTAGCGCAGGCGCGGCCCACCGCCGGGGGACCGGATCACCGGGTGGGGGGGGGGGGTTGGACAGCTCGCCGGCTTGCTGGATGTCGATTGTCAATGTGTCTGTTCCTCCTTTCCGTGCCCTCCCTGCCCTCCCTGCCCCTCCTCCTGCCCACAAGCAGCACCAGCAGCAGGTGGTACAGGCCGTGGAGCGCGCCAAGCAGGTGACCATGGCCGAGCTGAACGCCATCATCGGGGTACGTCAAGCCGGGGGGAATCCTGGGAGTCAGCCTGCCGTCGAGTGGGGGGGGGGGGGGGGGGGGGGTGATGAGAGCAGACCCTGGCCCATTCCCCCACCTGGGACATTTTGGTTCAGCGTATTAGTGTGTGGGCGAGCCGGAGAGTAGAGCCCTGTGTTTGGGTCAGCTGTGCCCAGACAAGTTAAGGGCTTCGGCGTTAAGCTAGTCATTCATGTTTAAAATATGATTGTAATCTATTAAAGTTGTGCGGCAGGACCTATGGCGCTGGGGGGGATGCATGGGGGGGAAACAAGGGTGGGGCAGAAGGGTGTTCCATCTCGAGACCGCCTGAACAGCAGGTGGTGCTCACCCTCAACTTTGCCCCCCCTCCCCAAAGACACAGACATGGATCCCTTTGTCTTAGATAGAGGCTGTTATGCGAAACGCCTGCATTTTATTACATTGTTTATCATATCAAACCCACTTTGAAGTGGTAATTATTCCGTTTTTTTTGCTTTGATTGAAACACACTATGTGAGAGGACCGGCAGGGAGCGGTGGGGGGGGGTGCCGGGGGTCTGCTGTGTGTGTGTGTGCGTGCGTGGGTGGTCTGGTTGGGTGTGTGTGACGTTCAGCTGTAAGATACTTACACTGTTCCCAATGCACACAGACATCAGTAGTAGAACGACTCTAAAATCAACCTGAGATTGACTGACTAAAAAGGACAACAGGAAGTGTAGTGGAAAGGCCAAAGGTCAGAGAGTGCCTGACGCTTGTGATTGGTGGACTTTGAGGGAGGCGCATGCTCTCTTGTGTTGTTTAAGGCCCCCCCTAGGTGCGGGGGCTTATGGGGATGAGTGACATAGGTTGAAGGCAGGGTTACCCTAGCAGTTGGGCCACACTAGGCAGAGCTTAACACTGGCCCTTGAGACATAAGCCACTGAGAAGTGATTCTTATTTTAATGGGATGTTAGGAAGCTGCACTCGCTTTTTGATGGGGGGTGGAGGGGGGGGGACTGAAGGCCCCGGCCAGGACTCGCAACACTTGCACATTTTTTTTGTCACACGCATCGGTCGTTTGGAAGTGTAGTGTTTTTGTTAATCATCACCGGTGAGGGTAATGCGGGGGAGCGAAGGAGAATGAGGCGGCCCTTATCGCTGCGCCGGCTAACCATGTGGAGAGCTTCTGAAATGATCTCCCCGGGAAAGTTAGAGATGGGGGGGGGGGTGAAAGCGATTATAGCGCTTGCGTGCAAAAGGGGGCATGGGAGAGGTCCGCTCGCCCTCCCCGCTCTCAGCGCTCAGGCTGAAATATTAAAATTCAATGACTTTAAATATCTCAGAGCGGGCTGGGGGAGAGGGGGGCATTAGCTTTTAATGGGCTTTAACTCCTAACTTATCGCCCTGATCTACAGAAACATTACTTATACCAGCAAAAAGGGGGCATGCTTTGGAGCAGGGGGGTGGGACGTGTGCCAGGAGTGAGGCCATCCGGCTGGCCTCGCGTTTTAGAAGCTTCTGGAAAAATAAGCGCAGCCGCACGTTTGGCCCGCCTTGCCGAGGGTGGGGGTGACGCACTCATTGTGGTGGCCTGCGGTGGATAGGGATGCTCTGATTGGGTGACTCATCTCCAGCATTCTCTGGCCCTCTGCCCTGTGCTGGGTGGGTGGGTGGATGGATGGATGGTCACTTTACCAGATCATGCATGTGTATCATTGGATCTCTCCCTTACTATAAGGCAAAGGTTAAATGATTGCTACCCCCCATGAAGCGCTGGTACTGGATGGCGTGTCAGTTTCTGTGAAAAACAAACTGTCCGTGTGGGAACAATCAAACCCACGCACATGTTCAGGCGAGCTGGGCCAGTGCCCCCAGGAAGGAAGGCACCCATTAGGGGTAACCCGTCCGGAGGGGGTTAATGTCGGCCGGCGGACTGGTCTCGTTTCAGCTATGCCTCACATAGCCATTAGCCTGATGGCCGCAGGAGCGTATTGTGTTCTCCGGCTGCGGCGGCTCTTGCATGCAGCAGATAATGGCCACGTTCATGGTCTCCGGTTACCCGAGTACAAGGAGTGTCGGAGGTGAGCCCCCCCCCCCGATAACGCGCACCAAAGGAAAGTGGCAATCGGAGATTGATTGATAACCGAGGCTGTTAATCGGCGGTATGTGATGATGGCGTGGGAACTTTATCGCCCGGATGCTTCGACCGTCCGGTTTCCGGGACGAGTTTAATGCGAATGGCTTCTCGGGTGACGCCTTGTGGGAGTGGGAGGGGGGGGCTGCTCCTGTTTTAGTAACATGTTTTTCAGATGGAGATAGGCCATGCTGCGGGAACGCCATGCAGACGCGGCACGTATTTACAGCGAGGCGGCCTTCCGCCGGATTCCCGCGCAGTGTCCCGCAGAATGGGCGGCGTGTCGGTCGCCGAGCCGGGCCGGGCGTCCCGCGTGAGCGCGGCCCCCCTGCGGGGTGCGGCAGGATGGAGCACAGTGCTTGGTCAGCGGCACTACAGGAGCTTCATATCCTGATGCCCCCTCCCCCCGCACAGCAGCGTCTGCTAGCTTCCAGCAGCCTGTGTCACCCCACCACTAACATCCCTCTTAAAGTCCTCGCCGTTTCGCGCTGTTAAATGACGGCTCTCTGTGACCCTCACCTCACGGAACGTCAATTCTCATGCTCTGGTGTACCCCCCACCCCCCACTCCCTTTAGTCTGGACGGAGCGGGTCGAGTTTATTTAATATCATGACGAGGAGAGGGACATCACTGGGGGGCGGGGCAGTGCACCGTGAAGGACATGCTCTCCACGTCATTGGCCTAATGTTCTGTCCGCCAGCGTGCTCCCGGGGGCGCTCTGGCTGGGGGGGGGTGGCTCTCTCTGGGGGCCGCATCTGACACCCACAGCATGCGGTGGTGATTTAATCGGGAGGGACAGAGGGACCTGGGGCTGGCGGCTTTGGCCTGACGATAAGTGGCAGGCCCTGGGGGCAAGCGCTGGCTGTGATGGCTGAACCCCCCCCACCCCCCTCCCCCCCCCCGACAGTCACCTGACCTGTCAGAGCAAGCCCTAGTCCCAAATCTCT